TGAATGAAAATGGCATCTAGACTGAGTTGGGAGAGAAGTCAAAGCAGGAAGAGGGTCATTACCTAGCTGGGAAAGGAGTCTAGAGGCTTAAGGTTAAAAAATATATGGGTAAAGTGAAGACACTTAAAATGATAGGAAGAATATAGGCATTAGATTTCAAAGATGGAGTGGTTTCCATGACGACAATGAAGAAAGTGGCCTCAACAAAGAAAAGGTTCTAATAAGCTGAGGCTGATGGGGAGTTTTTAAAAATTAAATTATCTTTTTAATAAGCAGTGTATTCACATGGTTCATAAATCAAAATTATACTCAACAGACAAACATTGACAAGTCTTGCTCCCACCCAAGTTCATATTCTTCTGTGTCCCCTTGCTGCTAGTGCCCTCCGTATGTAAACACTTTCTAAAATTTAATTTGCATCTTTCCAGTTTCTCTTTGCTAATATAACATTCACAGTATGCATTTTTATTCTTGCCCTTCTAACCCAAAAGTTGACATACTGTACACATGGGTCTGTATGTACACATGGGTGTGGACCTTTTTGATCACATAACAATATATGTTGGAGAGGTTTTTGATTGAGGAATAGAAATTCCAGAGGGTCTTATGGAAAGGATTGGGGTTGGGGCAGGTAGAATAGTGTGGGAATGGATCACAGGGGATCAGTAAAGGAAGAAGAGAGAATAGATCATATGTTTTCATGGAAACAGTTATAATAATTGAGAGTTCTGCCCCAGACTGGGGATGTGGCATCAAATCAATCATAGATGAAAACAACAGCATGTCATAAAAACAAAATAGAATAACAAAACCTTCTATGATCGTTAAAAAGTATAGTAATCCTTTGCAACTCCAGTTTTGCCAACCATTGTTTTAAATTAATGTGGTTTTATATTCGAATGTCTGCTTTTAAAATGTTGTGTTCTTGTTAGGTATATAGATCAGTCCCCTTAGAAGAACACAGCAGCAGTGATTGCTGTCCCCCCTCTGGAGATGAAGGAGGGGCAGGCTTTAAGGTATATCTGTTTATGCCTCCCTCCCCCAGGTCCCCTGTATCAGACCTGGCACAGAAAAACATCCTCTTAAGCACTGTCATAATTTGTGGAGCAACTAGGGAGTGACACAAATATTTTGCTAAGACCTGTAAAAAGCAAACAAGGGAGAAAGCAGGCACAAAAGACGTTGCATTGCAAACGAGTAAGCCCTGTTTGAAAAACATCTAAAAGAACAATTCGGAAAGTTTGCCTTCCTGAACAGGTGAGAGCGTTTACCCGGAAGGAGATTCTTACCAAAGCAGGGCACGTGGGCACGTCTGGCTTACTCTGGAGAAAGATACCCTCTAGAACTTTTATTACAGAGCATTCAACTGTATTATTCATTTGTTATTTAATGTTACTTTTTATAGTTTTATCCTTTATCCTCTCTTTTCTAGAATTCCTTGAACCTTTTGACTTCAGCTTGGCCAGTCATTACACTTTTCCAGAGTTTAACCTCTGTGATTTGTCAAGTGATTGCTGGAGTTAAAATTAAATGCTCCAAATTCTATAAATTGGACAGATATGTACTGTCTTGATTGCTGATACAAGTGGATCTTATAAAGTAAACATAGCAAGTACCTGATAAAGTATATACACAGCATAAATACAACCCTTTTGTAAAATTATAATACTTGTGTTTTTGGTGAAAGTTTACATAGCAAATTAGGTTCCCGTTGAATAATTTCTCTAAACATTGTTCCTGACATTGGTTACATCTTTCACAATGTATCATCATTCTCATTATTTCCGTTCTGGTTTTTCTGTTTCCATTAATCTAACTTCCCTGCCCCTGCACCCCCGCCCCCACCTTTTCTTCTTTGCTTTACGGTAAATGTTGACTGTTAGGTCTCATATAGATGATTTTTTAAAGGAGCACAGTACTTACAGGTGATACTGTTTATTTTATGAGCCAATCTATTATTTAGCTGAAAGGTGACCTCTGGGTGTGATTCAGTATAAAGATTAAAGGCTATCTCAGGGGTTCCCGTAGTCTCTACTGGTCCAGTAAGTCTGGCCTTTTTGAAGAACTTGAGTTTTTTTCTACAGTTTTCTCCCATTCTATCTGGGGACCATCTGTTGTGTCCCTGTTGAGAATGCTTATAGTGGTAGCTGGGGACCATCTAGTTCTTCTGGTCTCAGGATAGATGAGGCCATGGTTCCTGTAGGCTATTAGTCCTGTCAACTAGTCTCTTCTTTGAGTCTTTGGTTTCTTTCTCTTTTTGATGAGTAGAGACCAATAGTTGTATCTTAGATAGTAGATACAACCTTTTACATTATAAACTTGATTCCCTAATCCTAATGTGCTGCTAAAATAAACATCCATTAAACATTTAATTAATACCAATATTGCTTGCCTTCTGAAATATCAGATGTGCTTGTGGTAATGGTATGGATGGTCCAAGTCTTTTAAAGAAGCTAAGCTGGAAAGTTTGAATAGAGGCTTTCTTATCCATACATACTCTTGACCCCTGCTTATGGAAGGGTAATATGCTGTGGTGGGCTGGGGAGTGGGGAGCAGAGATGGACAT